CCCGCCCGAGCCCTCTCACCTCAGCACCCATCCCTGGGCACTTGGCGTGGGCTCCCTGCTCCCCCCACCCCGCCTGCCTTGCCTCTACCCGCTGAGCCCTGTAGGTGTTTCCCTGTCCATTCTTCCTCCCTGATGGCCGCTGTGTGTCTCCGTGTGGCTTCCCAGGTGGCTGCGGCGTGGGAAACTTGACGGAGCCTGTGGCTGTCTCGCTGCGGCACTGGGCTGAGGGTGCCGAGCCCGTGGCAGCCTGGTGGAGCCAAGAGGGACCTGGGGGCTGGAGCTCCGAGGGCTGCCAGCTGCGTTCCAGCCAGCCTAACGTCAGTTCCCTGCACTGCCAGCACTTGGGCAACGTAGCCGTGCTGATGGTGAGTGTGGTGTGGGGTGGCGAGATGTGGGGGCCACGGGGAGATCAGGCAGCTGTTGGGAACAGGCTGTGCTCTGTCCCAGCCCCCCGTCTCAACAGGCAAACACAGGGAGGCAGGAAGATCTGCAACTCCCAGCCTTTTAATTGAGAGGTTTCCTTCCTTCCTTCTTTCCCTCTCTTTCTTGGATGCGTTCATTTAGAAGTCAGAATGATAGAGTTCACTCCCCCAGATGGTTGCAATGGCCAGTACTGGGCCAGGTCGAAGCCAGGAGCTTTCTTGAGGTCTCTCGTATAGGTGCAGGGATCCAAGCACTTGGGCCATCCTTCACTGCTTTCCCAGGCCACAAGCAGGGGGCTGGATCAGAGGTGTAGCAGCCAGGACTGGTACGGCATTGCAGGCAGCAGCTTAAGCCACTGCTGTTCCACAGCCGTGGCCCTGGAGCAGGGTCTTCTAGTGTGGGAAGAGATGTTCTTTGTTTCTCAACCCCCTCCCCTGGTCCCACTTTTTTTAAAAAGTTGTATTTATTTTTATTGGAAAGGCAGATTAATAGAGAAGGAGGGAGAGAGGAAGATCTTCCATCTGCTAGTTCACTCCCCAAGTGGCCACAACAGCCGCAGCTGAGCTGATCTGAAGTCAGGAGCCAGGAGTTTCTTCTGGGTCCCAAGGCTTTGGGCCATCCTCAACTGCTTTCCCTGGCCACAAGCAGGGAGCTGGATGGGAAGTGGAGCTGCCGGGATTAGAACCAGCGCCCATATGGGATCCTGGCGTATTCAAGGCGAGAACTTTAGCCACTAGGCTCCTGTGCCACTACCCCCCCCCGGGTCCCATTTTGTACCAACTTTGCCAGATTCAACAGGCATACCCAGAGACAGTGTTGAGAGACAAAACCTTCTCTCTCCTTGCTCGCATCAGAAAAGTGTCCAGAACAGCCAGGGTCCTGGGCCGGGCAGCGTGGTGGTAGACCGTGACCTGCTCCCTGAGGCCCACTTGCCAACTGCCCGTGGGGAGCTGACAGTCCTGGCCTGCCTGGATGGCCTGGCTCGGCAGGACCCTGGGGTGTGCACCTGCTCACCTCCCTCCCTCACCCCTCCCACAGGAGTTGAGCACCTTCCCCAGGGAGGCAGGGGGTGCCGGTGGTGGGCTGCACCCTGTCGTGTACCCCTTCACTGCCCTGCTGCTGCTGAGCCTCTTCTCCACCATCATCACCTACATCCTCAACCACAGGTGGGCACCCTTGTGGGGCAGGCGGGCAGCGGGCCTCAGCCAGGACTGGCCAGGACTGCGCATGCCAAAGCCTCAGGCTCCTGTGGGTTAGCATTTCCTCCCGCCCTGGGGTTGGAAGCACATTGGAGGGTTAAGGATTTTGTACCAATGGTGTCTGCCGCACACGGGCACACACACGCACACAGCCCTCCGTCTGTGGGCTTGTCCCTCTGGCTGTCACAGGGGCCTTGAGACCCTGCGGGCCTGACCTTGGGCTGGTTTTTTTGGGGGGCGGGGGTTTCGGGGTGGCAGCTCCATCCACGTGTCTCGGAAGAGCTGGCACATGCTGCTGAACCTGTGCTTCCACATGGCCATGACCTCCGCCGTCTTCGTGGGAGGCATCACGCTTACCAACTACCAGTTGGTCTGCCAGGCGGTAGGCACAAGGGCTGAGGCTCCCAGAGCGGGGAGGGCAGCCTGGTGCAGGGGAGGGGTGGTCCCCAAGGCTGAAAAGGGAGGTCTGGGTCCACCTTGGAAGGTTGGGGGTGGGGGAGGGTGGCAGGATAACCAGGTCCAAACACAAGGAGAGGGACAACAGATCTCCCTGCACGATCTCCCCCTGGAGTGGAGGTTGGGACAGCTCTTGGGGTGCGGGGTGCTCCATGCCAGCACAGCACCTGGGTCTCCCAGCCTTGGCATCAACCACCAACCTTCCTCCATCCAGGTGGGCATCACTCTGCACTACTCTTCGCTGTCCACTCTGCTCTGGATGGGGGTGAAAGCCCGAGTCCTCCACAAGGAGCTCTCCTGGAGACCACCCCCTTCGCAGGAAGGGGAGCCCGCGCTGCCCGCTCCACGCCCCATGCTACGGTAGATGCTCTGGGCCCGCAGCTTGCAACGGGGGAGGGCGGCTCTACCCCAGGCAGGCAGGAACGTGGCTCCGCCCCGGGGGGCGGGCGGGGAGTAACTTCTGCGCTGTTGGGGTTCAGAAAGACCCAGAAGTTTCGGTTCTTAGAAAGCAGCCGCCAGGCCTGGAGGCTGGGATATTCCGAGTGCAGGGCGCCTTGCAACTCCCTCTGACCTCCAGCTCCCGCCAACCCGCTCCAGGTTCTACTTGATCGCCGGCGGGATCCCGCTCATCATCTGTGGCGTCACGGCTGCGGTCAACATCCACAACTACTGCGACCACAGTCCCTAGTGAGCACCGCGCCCGCCCGTGCCCAGCCCTCGCCCGTGCCCCTGCGCCAAGCCCCAGCCCCTAACGCTCTGTCCGCTGTCTCCCTCAGCTGTTGGCTGGTGTGGCGCCCCAGCCTGGGAGCCTTCTACATCCCGGTGGCCCTGATCCTGCTTGTCACCTGGATCTACTTCCTGTGCGCAGGGCTGCACCTGCGGGGTTCCCCTGCCCAGAGCCCCAAGGGGACTGCCAGCAGGATCTCCGTGGAGCCCGGGGAGGAACTAAGAGGCTCCGGCAGGCTCAGGAGCAGCGGGCCCCTGCTCAGCGACTCTGGCTCCCTTCTGGCCGCCGGGAATGTGAGCGCAGGGGTGGTGAGCCCTGGGCCCCCTGACAGTGACGGCTTGTACTCTCCGGGAGCGCAACTGGGGGCGCTGGTCACCACGCACTTCCTGTACCTCGCCATGTGGGCCTGCGGAGCCCTGGCTGTGTCCCAGCGCTGGCTGCCCCGGCTGGTGTGCAGCTGTCTGTATGGGGTGGCGGCCTCGGCCCTGGGGCTCTTCGTCTTCACCCACCATTGTGCCAGGCGCAGGGACGTCAGGGCCTCCTGGCGTGCCTGCTGCCCGCCTGCTTCGCCTTTGGCCTCCCACGTCCCTGCCCGGACCCTACCCGTGGCCCCAGAGGATGGCTCTCCGGTGCTGGGGGAGGGACCCACCTCGCCCAAGTCCTCTCCTAGTGGCTGCAGCGGCGGCGGGGGCAGCCTGGGCCCCTGCAAGCTCACCAACTTGCAGTTGGCGCAGAGCCAGGCCTGCGAGGCGGGCGGGGAGGGGGAGCCGGAGCCCACGGGCTCCCGTGGGAGCCTGGCTCCGCGTCACCCCAACAATGTGCATCACGGTCGTCGGGCGCACAAGAGTCGGGCCAAGGGCCACCGCGCCGGGGAGGCCGGTGGCAAGAGCCGGCCCAAGGCCCTGCGTGGGGCCGGGGGCGCGGCCGCCGGGGTGCCAGAGCTGCTGTCGAGTGAGAGCGGCAGCGTGCACAACAGCCCCTCCGACAGCTATGCGGGCAGCGGTCGCAACAGCCCCGGCCTCCAGCGGGAGGGCGAGCCGGCGGCGTTCACGCCATCCGAAGGCAGCGACACGAGCGCCGCACCGCTCCCCGACCTGGGCCGGCCGGGGCAGCGCCGCAGCGCCAGTCGGGACAACCTCAAGGGCGCGCTGGAGAGGGAGAAGGAGAGCAAGCGCCTCTCCTACCCGCTCCACACGGCCAGCCTCAACGGCGTCCCCAAGGGAGGCAAGTTCGAGGACCTCAGCGTGGCGGGTGCAGAGGCGGCTGCGGGCGCTTGCATGAAGACTGGCCTCTGGAAGAGCGAGACCACAGTCTAAGATGCGGGCTGGCCACCTGGGTTTGTCACCTTGTTTGTCCAGCTGCAGGGTCTACGGCAGCGCCTGGGTGCTCACCTCGAGGCTCTTGGAGGCTAGAGGAAGAGCCATCTGCCTTGGGAGACACGCCCCTCTGCACCACAGCGATAGACAATCCCAGAAACACACAAGAGCCACTTCTGTCCACCTCAGGCCCATTTGGACAGCCAAGCTGTGAGGCCCTGGCTGTGTTAGTCCCTGCAGCTGACCACACCCAACCAACTCCTCCGGTGGCCATCTGCCCCACCCAGGACGGGGCGGATGACTGGGCCCTGGGTTGTCTCGCCACCTGGCCTTCCTCTGCCAGTAGGCCAGCCAGTGCATGGAACGCAGGGCCCGCGCCTCTCCAGGTTTTGGTTAAGGGAGCCAGTCTAGCAGATGGGCCCAGTGGCCAGGGGCAAGGTGCTGCTTCCTGGATTAACTATGCAAGGGAGGGTGGGGTAGTGTGAAAGGCGGGCAGGGCTGAGCCAGTCCCATGGGCAGGGTGCACAGCTAAGCCAGGAGCACCATCCCTGTAGGAAGCTCCCCACGCTGCCCAGCAGAGCTCCAAGTGGGGCCAAGGTGAAGCCCTGTACCTGGAAGGTGGGTCCTGACCCTGGGAGCCCGGGCTGAACTGGGCCCTTCCCTAGCCCTAGTCTCACACCAGGTACTCTTGGCTGAGGCCCCGGGGTCCACTAGGAGGCCCCATCCCTCGCCTGGCCCAGCCAGTGCAGTGGCCTGGAGGCTGGGCGTGTCCTTGCCTCCGTGAGGCTGTATGGGAAGGCCATGCCCTCGGCCTGGTCTCCAGCTCCTTTAGGGGACATTTCAGGTGCTGCCAGCTTCCTGGCTCGGCCAGGAGCCCTGAGGCAGCTACGGGGGTCCCTTCACCATGTTGCAACACCAGCACCTGTGTCTTACCCCAGCTTCCCCCCCTGGGACCACATGGCAGCACAGGGAACCAGGGGCCTTGGGAAGAGGGGTAGGTGAGCGCCCTTCCCGTCTCCGTGTACACCCAACCCAGCAGTCAGGTTGGAACCGGAGGCAGTGCGGGACGAGGGACAAGGCGCACCCTTGCTGGACGAGGTCCTGTTATTTATGCTTGCTGCACAGACCGTTAGAAGGAAACAAAAGCTTCGTATTATTCTCCCACGTACGCTGGCTGCTGTTTACATAGCCTGCCAATGCCTTAGCACTGGAGAGCTTTCTGCAATACGCTGGGGAGGGGGGAGGGAATGGAAAGTGCCAAAGAAAACAGGTTTCTAAAAGCTCCAGTTTTCTACAATAGGTTTTCTAGCAGATGCCTCTTGTTTTAATATATTAAAGTGCTGTAAAACCACTGTGTGCCCATAGTTCTTGAGCTGGGAGTCGGAAGCTCTTCTGATACAGTGCCAGGAAAAGAACGAGGCTCAGGGATCCCTCAGTGCCTCCTGCTGCTGGCAGTGCTCACTGGGCCACCAAAAGCAGGGTCTCTGAAGACACCAGTAGCCCTTGGCCAAGTCCAGTGGGGGCGGTACACCCTGACATGCCCCACAGGGTGGGGGTGGACAGGGTGCTCCTGCCTGGGTCCAGCAGATGGCAGAGCCACTCCAGCCCCTCCCAGCCAGAAGAGCCGGCCCAAGCTCCGTCCCGCAGCAGGCTTGTCATCACGCTGTGGTCCATGTGGGCTGAGCTGACCTCCAGTGCCCTGGCCCACCGTGGGTGGGCTTCAGGGCGAGCCAGGGACCCTCTGGGCAGCTTGACTGGCAGCCTGGGCTCTCTGGAACTCCCTCACCTCCTGGGGGCTGCGTAGATACTGCTCGATTTCACTGTCAGAAATGTCCTCATCTCCAGTGACTGTGGAGGCAGGCGGTGCTGGACGGACCCGCTTCGGGGGCTTCAGCATGCAGGGTGGGAGCAGCGGGGCGGGGCTGGCTGGCCGCCGCCTCTGGGACAGACTATAGGAGCCACCAGCCTCCTCCGCTCCCTGGTCCTGCCCCTGCTGCTCCTCCTCGGCCTCTGTGTCTGTGTCTGCCGCCCCTTCCCGGAAGGCTGCCCGGAGCAGCAGGTGGCGGTGCTGCAGCAGGTCCCCAATGTGCTTCACCACGGACCGTTTGTCCAGTTTCAGAACCTGCAGCCAGGCCAGCTGCCCGGCCATGCGCAGCAGCACCCCCAGCAGCTCCTGCAGGCGGGAGGCGGCCGGGGAGGGCAGGTCCACGTTGGCCAGCTTGCAGAACCGGGCCAGTGAACACGGCAAGCGGGCCGTGGGTTGCAGCGACTGCCAGGCCAGGAAGGTGGCGGCAGTGACAATGGGCAAGGGGTGGCGACCGGTCACCAGCCACGTCTCGCTCGCCAGCTCCACCAGCTGCAGAGTCCGCGCCTGCATCTTCTCTTTGTCCTCCACGTATTTAGCTGGCACGGAGGCAGAGGCCTGACAGAGCTTAAAGCTGAAACAACCAGAAGAGGAGTGAGGGCTTGGAGATGAAAAGGGTGGCCCTTCAAGAAGGGGACACTCAGACACTCCCCCAGACAACACTGGCCCAGCCCCTTCCCCTACCAGGCAGCAAGGTAAGGGAGGCGGGGTGGATCCTCTGCCTGTTGGTGGGAATGCGGGTGAATCTGAGCACAGCCAGCCACTCTGGCAGGAAGTTCTCACTACACTATGCCAGGGAGGAAAGCAGCCAAAGGCACGCCTATGAAATCAACCACAGCAGGCCTCGAAATTTCCATCATCTGTGGAGGGTGGGTGGACTTTTCAGAAGATCATGCTGTGTGCCTTGCAAACTTAGAAATACCTACATGATCCCTGGCAGAAAACAAAAAAGTCTCCCACTCCTCCACACACTATGTTGTGTGCATGTCATAGCTGAAAAGACTTGCCCACAGCTACTACCGAGGAGAGAAGCAAGCTTCAAATCCCCGGGACACTTCAGAGACCAATAGAGCCACTTGAAGCAAAGGCTGGGCCTGGTGTGATGGCTCCAGTGGCTCATTCTATGACTGTAAGCGCTGGTGTCCCATGCGGGTACTGGTTTGTATTCCAGCTGCTCCACTTCTCATCCAACTCCATGCTTATGGCCTGGGAAAGCAGCAGAGGATGGCCCAAAGTCTTGGGGCCCTGCACACACATGAGAGACCCAGAAGAAGTTCCTGGTTTCGGATAGGCTCAGCTCTGGCCATTGCAGCCACTTAAAAAAATAAATCATTCTGGCCCTGCGTGCTTAGGGCTACTGGAGGGCAGAGGGAGTTGAAAAGCACAGGATCCGGGGAATGTACGGTGGAGGCACCAACCCTCACGGCAGGGCTAGTGTACCCGCATCCAGGTACTTGGGCCAGACAGAGCCAGTGCCAGGGAAGCCCCCTGGCCCGCGAGGGCAGGTACCTGCTGCAGTAGGTCTTCACCAAGTCAGCCAGGCTCAGGGCCGGCACGTCAAGCCCCAGCAGCTTCACGATCTGCAGGTAGGTGCTGGCGAACACGTCTGGGTCGGCGTAGAGCAGGGCGCACACGGTGCCCATGGTGAGGGGCCAGTTGTGCTGCCGGCAGGTGACCAGCACGCAGCAGCCGACCAGCACCTCCTTCTTAGGCAGCCTGGCGGCCCGGAGGCCCGAGTGCTGGCACGCCTGCTGGTAGTAGGCCGTGGCCGTTTCCTCGAATGTTGCTGGCAACTGCAGGACTCGGCACAGGTCCCTCACGCGCCGGAGACCTTGGGATGTGACCAGGGAGTGTTAGAGCGGCCAGGTCCCGTGCAGCTCCAGCAAGTTCCACCATGCGGCCTCAGGCCATGGACACACACACACACACACACACACACACACACACACACACACACGGTGCACCTTACCACACTGGGATGGGAGTGTGCTCAGGCCAAAGGCACCAAAACCCCTGGGTGGCAATGAACCACACTTCATTCCAGTGCTGGGTGAGCCAGGGTGGAGGTGAACTCAAGATATACCCAAACCTAAGTCAGGGTCAACTCAGCTCTCAGAGCTGCTCCCCACCTTCTTCCTTACCTGACCCGACACAACTAATGCAGAGACAGGGAAATGACACAGGTGGGCCGGGTCGTCGGTGTCCTTCCCCGGAGGACCCCCGTGACGTGAAGGGTGACACTCACCTCGCTGCTGGCTGCGGCTGACCTGCTCATTCTCCCCTGTGCTTCGGGAATATGTCACTTCTGTAAGACAACGTGACAGAAACCTGCCTGAGAACGCTAACCCCAGAGCAGCTGCACCCGGCTAACACAAGGTCCTGGCCCAAATGGCACACACTGGAAAATGTTAAGACTGAATTATTTTTTTATTGGAAATGCAGAGTTATAGAGAGAAAGAGAGATAAGATCTTCCACCCTCTGCTTCACTCTCCCAATGGCCACAATGGCAGGAGCTGAGCCGATCTGAATCCAGGAGCCAGGAGCTTCCTCTGGGTCTCCCACGCGGGTGCATGGTCCCAAGGCTTTGGACCGTCCTCCTTGGCTCTCCCAGGCCACAGGCAGGGAGCTGGATGGGAAGTGGAGTAGCCAGGACTTGAACCGATGCCCATATGGGATGCTGGCGCTCACAAGCACAGGATTAGACTGACAGGCTCCCAAGCCGGCCCCTGTTTTTATATAGCTTAAACCGCTCTGTACTGTAGTCCTATAGAACTGACCCACAACCCTCCACCATGGTCCCAGCTGCTGGGGCTCACACCCTCACCATAGCCTGGGCGCTGCGCGGGAGGAAGATACAGCGGTACCATTCATCCCCCCACCTCATCCTCAGTGACGCCCCTCATCCCCGCACCACACACCCCATCCTAGGTCACACCCCTCATCTCGCCCCCCATCCTGGGTCACCCCCCACATCCCGCAGCCCACCCTGGGTCACGCCCCGCATCCCACAGCCCACCCTGGGTCATGCCCCTCATCTCGCACCCCACCCTAGGTCACCCCCCGCATCCCGCAGCCCACCCTGGGTCATGCCCCTCATCTCGCACCCCACCCTAGGTCACCCCCCGCATCCCGCAGCCCACCCTGGGTCATGCCCCTCATCTCGCACCCCACCCTAGGTCACCCCCCGCATCCCGCAGCCCACCCTGGGTCATGCCCCTCATCTCGCACCCCACCCTGGGTCATGCCCCGCATCCCACAGCCCACCCTGGGTCATGCCCCTCATCCCGCAGCCCACACTGGGTCACCCCCCACATCCCGCAGCCCACCCTGGGTCACCCCCCACATCCCGCAGCCCACCCTGGGTCACCCCCCACATCCCGCAGCCCACCCTGGGTCATGCCCCGCATCCCGCAGCCCACCCTGGGTCACGCCCCTCATCTCGCCCCCCACCCTGCGTCACGCCCCGCATCCCGCAGCCCACCCTGGGTCATGCCCCTCATCTCGCCCCCCACCCTGGGTCACGCCCCTCATCTCGCCCCCCACCCTGGGTCACGCCCCTCATCTCGCCCCCCACCCTGGGTCACGCCCCGCATCCCACCCTGGGTCACCCCCGCATCCCGCAGCCCACCCTGGGTCACGCCCCTCATCTCGCCCCCCACCCTGGATCACACCCCGCATCCCACCCTGGGTCACCCCCGCATCCCGCAGCCCACCCTGGGTCACGCCCCTCATCTAGCCCCCCACCCTGGGTCACGCCCCGCATCCCACCCTGGGTCACCCCCGCATCCCGCAGCCCACCCTCGGTCAGGTACCTCGCAGGTGGCCCTCGTCGCTGTAGGTGGTGGTGAGGACGCCCTCGGTGAGCACGCAGCCGCAGTCGGCGCACACCAGTTGGCTCTGCGAGTAGTGCGAGTCCTCCACCAGCTCGGCGGAGCCGCACTCGGGACAGCGGCCGGCGCCCGGCATGTCGCAGGCCGCCCGGCTCGGGACCGCCCGGCTCAGGGCACGGAAGCTCGGCACGACCGTCCGCCACCCGGCTCGGACACCGCGGCGCGCGGCCCGGGGGACGCCTTTCCGAGCTGCACCGGCTGCTTCCGGCCACAGCGACGCCGGGAGCCCCGGATCCCTTCCGCCCCGCCTCGCAACCGAAGGTCACATCCGGTCTGGGCCTTGGTAGCCTCCGGCAGGAACCTGATCTCGCAGAGAAGGTTCCGCGTGGTTGAGGTCTGGGAGGTGGAATGGACACATCCGATACGTGCAGGAGCAGTTTTTGTCGCCCCCCACAACCCTCCCTTTATTTCCTTTTAAAGTTTATTTAACAAACACAGAAAGATTTGTTTAAGGGCTGGCGCCATGGCTTAGTGTGTTAAGCATCCAATTCCATATGTTAAGCTTCGAGATCCCATAAGGGGGCTGGTTAGTGTCCCGGCAGCTCCACTTCCCATCCAGCTCCCTGTTTGTGGCCTGGGAAAGCAGAGGAGGAGGACGGCCCACGGTCTGGGGACCTTGCATCCGCGTGGGAGACCCAGAAGAGGCTCCTGGCTCCTGGCTCCTGGCTTCGGTTCAACTGAGCCCTGGCCACTTGGGGAGTGAAGCAGTGAATGACAGAAGACCTGTCTCTGTATGTCCTTCTTTCTGTAAATCTGACTTTCTAATAATAAGCCCTTTTTTTTTTCCAATTAAAGAACATATTTATTTACTTAAAAGGCACAACTACAGACAGATGGAGATCTTGCACCAGCCGTGATTAGAGCTGGGCCAGTTCAAAGGCACAGGTTCGAGACTGCATCCAGGTCCCCCTCGTGGGTGTCAGCCAGGCACTGGAGAGCCATCTCCTGCCTTCCCAGGGACAAATGAGGAGATAAGCCAAGCGCCGGCCCTCAGCAAGTTTGGAACTGGATTTAGAGTCCACCTTCCCGACGTGGTCTCAGGGCATCCACGCGCTTTTGTGCCGTGCCGGCGGCAGCAGGTGGCGCTCTCCGCCCGCGCAAGAAGCCGGCTTCCCGGGGAATGGCGTTGCTCCAGGAGTCCAGGACACACACACCCGTCTTCTTCCGTCGCCCTCCCGCCTTTGGTTTCTGAGGAAGGCGGCCCCTGTGTGATGCCGAGCGCCGGTGGCCCGGGTGCCTGCTCCCGCGGCCACAGGGAAGGAAGCCCCCGCCCGAGCTCCCTCGGCTGGACGCCACCTTGCAGAGCCTGGTGTGCTCCTGATGGGGGTCCCTGTGGGTCCCCGGAAACCTCCTACAGCAAAGAGCTGTGCCAGTACCTGTGCCAGGAGAGGTCGCCCCTTCCCGAGGCACTGACCCAGCCCAGCTTCACGCCGAGGCCCCCACTACCACCACCACCTGCGGTACCTTAGCAGAACCTCAGCTCCTCGGGGGGCTGAGAGCTCAATGTGGGGGGCCAGGGCCCCATCTCTCTTCTGCCGGCGCTGCGGCTCACCTGGCCTCCCGGAAAGCCCTAAGAGGGGACTGTTAGGTGGGCTCCCCTCTTCCCTGCACCCCCCATCCCCTCACTTTGCCCCTCCTGGTCCCCAGTGTGGTCCTGGACTCCTGAAAGCAGGCCACTCCACTCCCTGTGTGGAATTCCACCCACAGCAGAAGATCGCCTTGAGGTCCCAGTCTAGAACATGGACAGAGCTGGAGGAGATGCTCACAGCGCCCTGGAGCTGGGTGGAGCGATTTCCGTATCCACGCAGTGGCCAACGCTGTGACATGGGGCAGGCCATTCCTGGCTGGCAGGCTGGAGGCAGCGGTCACCTGGTGTGAGTGAACTGAAATTTCCGTTCTCTTCCCTAATAATCAACATGTGATATTATGACTTGAAAAATCAACCACCTGCCTATGTTGACCAGGGTACGGGGTGTCCACTGCTGCTACATAACAGATTGCCAGGACGAGGTTAGGATGAGCGCTCCTGGTCACGTGGTCAGGATGGGCAGGGCTTCCTGCGCCTGGGCCTCAATGTGCCTTTCCTCTGGCTGTGAATTTCAGATTGGGAGAGGTTCATTCTTCATGTTGTCCATCTGCCCTGTGCTCCTTTCCCTTACTTTTTGAGTGACTTTCCCAACAGCTTTCTGATTTCTGTCTGCTTGGCTCACTCCCCAAATGCCACAATAGCCAGAGCTGTGCCAATCCGGAGCGAGGAGCCAGGTGCTTCTTCCTGGTCTCCTATGCAGGTGCAGGGTCTAAGGCCCTGAGCCATCCTTGCCTGCTTTCCCAGGCCACAAGCAGGGAGCTGAATGGGAAGTGGGACCACCAGGACACACCCTGATGCTCATATGGGATCCTTGGCACATGCAAGGCAAGGACTCTAGCCACTAACTAAACTATCATGCTAAGCCCTTGGAAACCCTTCTTCCAGAGGGGTGAATTTTTCGAAGTTATTTTTTTTAATTTGAAGATTAATTTACTTGAAGGGCAGAATCAATAAGAGTTAGAGATGTTCCACCCGCAGGCTCGCTCTCCAAATGGCTGCAATGGCTAGGCTATGTCCAGTTCAAGCCAGGAGCTTGGACTCCATCTGTGTCTCCCAGGTGGGTGGCAGAGGCCCCAGAGCTTGGGCCATCTCCATTCCCGGGTGCCTTCCCAGGCACCTTAACAGGGAGCTGGATTGTTAGTGGAGCGGCCAGGACTCAAATGGTTGCTAAGATATGGGATGCCAGTTACAAAGGCGCAAGCTTAGCCTGATATGCCACAATGTTGGCCTTGAAGGGCGTGGTTTTTCTTAAAAATCAAACCCGGGGCCGTGTGTAATAGTACAGCAGGCTATGCCACTGCCAGCCACACTGGCATCCCATATGCATGCCAATTTGTGTCCTGGTTGCTCCACTTCTGATCCAGCTCCCTGCTAATGCGCCTGGGAAAGCAGCCGGGGATGGCCCACACAGGAGACCCAGATGAAGTCCCTGGCTCCTGGCTTTGGCCTGGACAAACCATGGCCGTTGTGGCCATTTGGGGAATGAATCAGCAGATGGAGGACCTGTCTCTACTCTCTGCTTTTCAAAAAGTTAAAGTAAATTTAAAAAACAAAACAATCAAATTTGGAAGGCTATGAGTTGAAGAGAGTTCCCCGTCACTGTTCTCAGTGCTTCTGACCTGCAGCCAGGGCCCCCCACCAACACAGGCCACAGCATCCCAGGGACCATTTGTCTGTCTGCATCTCCTTTTTCACCTTGCAGTGGGGACCAGGGCCGGTGCCTGGGAGGCAGGCAGAATACTCACCTCCACAATGGGACGGGCACCTTGGAGCTGAACGCAGGAGACATTAGGACAGCCCCATGAACCCTGTGCTCACACAGGGCCTTTGAGCAACCTTGGAATCCAACGCCTGCCCTGAGGGAAGATTCCGCTCTTGGGTGGCGGGGAGCAGGTGGATGTGGCGCCTCCTCATGCCATGATGGGGGCTTGCATCCGAAATGCTCCATCTTCTGTGGGAGGGAGGGCATTGGCTTCCTAGGGCAGGGCATGGTGGCGGCAGCAGGAGCCTAGGTTGGGACCCTCATTGGTGGCTGCCCCTTCCCTGGCTGGCCTGTTCCCACCTGGAGAGCGTTCCCAGGCCAACACAGATTCCCAGTAGCCACCCTGAATCACACGCCATCTTTAACAGGTAGCCTTTGCTTTATTTAGTTTTGTAGAAGGTCAGGTGACTTCAGACACAGGAAATCAGAGACCCAAAAGTCCCCAAAGTCACCAGGCACAAAGTGGTAATTCGACGTCATCCTAAAACACCGGGTCTGGTGGCTGCCACAGATGCCAGCAGGCTGAGCCCTCCCTCCACCCCGGCCCCAGGACCCCAAAGACCCCGCCACACCCCAAAAACCCCACCACACCCCATTCACAAACGTCACTCACATGCCCCACTCAGGGTCCGCGGGTGCTGTGCAAGGCCAACATCACACACTGGCACAAGGAGCCTGCCCGGCCCCACCCCTCCTGGGGCTCCCCAGGACAGGAGCCAGCCGAGTGACCTCCGTGTGACCTAGTAGGGTCAGGTGCAGGAACGCTGTCGTTTGAGGTCTTGCCAGGTGGCAGGCAGGCGCCAGACAACCCTTGAGATCAGGTGGCCTTCATTCCCCAGAGTTCCCAAGTGGCGTTTTGAGTACAGGAATTCACCGTCCCCCACGCCCAGCCAGCCAACGTCCTTCTGCGAACAAGGCCAGTGCCTGGCCACAGCAGGCTCTGCGCTGCCTGCCTCGTGTGGGTGACGCAGATCACAGCTGTCCTTCAGGAGCAGGGCCACCAGTTCAAGTGCACCTGCCACCCCGGCCCAGCCTGCGTGCTTGGGTTATCACAGTACAAATACAGCTTACTAGTCAAAACACAACGTGGAACAAACGGATAACGCATACACTTCCAGAGTTGGAGAGAAGGTACAGTTTTTCTTTATAGGCATGTAATAAAACTTCACAGCGCTATAAAAATACAAGACTTTTCTGACAAGTTGACAGTGGTCCCCGGTACTGGAGGAAAGGAGTCAATTAAATAAAACAGCCATTGATAATTAAAAGCTAATTAGACAACTTACAGTATCATCCTTTAAAGTGCTCTGACACAGCCGATGCTGGCAGCCAGCGTCACCCTGGGGTGGGATTCCCGCTGCCCACCAGCCTGCCCCTGGACCACAACCCCACACGAGAAGGCTTGGGAGAGTCCCACCTGCCGCGCCCTTGGCCCTGTGAAGGTCCCCCAGGATGGAGGTCAAAGGTCGCTGTGACCCTCTCCGTCTTCGAGGACAGGACAATGGTTCTCATGCGGTCACCTCTACAATCTGAACCTGGGCTGAGAGTTAAGGCAGCAGTTGGCTCCAAGTTCAACCCCAAACCACACACAGGCTACCTGCCCTTCTCAACACTGGGGGAGGGAGTGGGGTCAGCCAGAAGACAAAGCAGCAAGTTTCAAGGGGAGGACCCACCCTGCTGCTCCCCCAGGCTTCCAGGGAGGGCAGTGGTGTGGGCCTCCTCGTGGCCAGGGAGGGGCTGTGTGTGTAACGGAGAGGGGCAGGGGTTGAGCCCCACGGCAGCATTGCAAGCCCTGTGTGGGGGCCCAAGGCCATCATTGCCCCTGGGCCCTGCACAGCCAACAGGCCGCTTCACCATAAGGCACGGTGGTCCTGTCTCACTTCCCGCCACCCCCAAAACTGCTCTTCGCACAGCCACCTAGGAAACCGCAAGCCGGGCAAAGGCACAGATGGCAGTGGCAGAAGTCTACACCTGTGAGTGCTGCTGCTCCAGGAGGTGGCTGGCACTGCCTCCCCCAGCCAAGGCACTGAACGAGGTGGGGCGACCAACCTGACCCCAGGCAAAGGCCTCTGTGATAGCAAAAAACCCAACATCGAGAGTGTGAGTGAGTGTGTGTGTGTGTGTGTGTGTGTGTGTGTGTGTGTCACAGCACCAACGGCGTAGGCCTTCCCAGTTCACCTAATTAGAAAAATCCCTGGATTACGAGAGAAGAGCCGGGGAACACAGTCCAGGCAGCCGGGGGCTCTCGTGCCCCATCCCTGGCTCAGATCGGATCTTCTGACCCGGTGTCTGATGGACATAAATCATTTACAGCCGAGCTTTAAAAGGCACAGTGGCAATGGGAGGGTGAACCCCCAGGAATGTTACAGTAGAAGACTTTGTGGAAATAATGAACCTGGCTTCCAGTGGTAGCACCAACCACTCGCTGTGGAGGTGGAGATGCGGAGCACGCAGCCGGGGACGCAGTCACACGGCCTTGCCAGAGCTGGGTCACATCTTGCCGGCCTTCCGACCAGCCGGGGTCGGGATGCGGAGGATGTTGGGGGTCTCCTCCATGACCCTGACCAGCAGGTTATCGATATAGTCCTCCAGCTCGCGCACCTGCAGCTCCTTCTTGCTTATGGCTTCCTTCTGCTTGAGAACCAGCTGGACCAGCTCATCGTGGGTGAGCTGTGCGTAGGCAGACGCAGGGTCTGAGGGGTTGTACTTCTGCGGGGTAGGAAGGGATGGAGGAGAAAGGAGAAGACGTTATAGAAGCAGAACAGAACTTAGACCTCTAACACAAGGCAGGGACATGCCGGGAGAGGGGGCTGTTGACATCACGGGCCTTCACTCAAGCTCTTTGCTTTGTCCTGTTCTTTTAATTTTTTTTTTTTTCAAAAAAATATGTATTCATTTTTATTGCAAAGTCAGATATACAAAGAGGAGGACAGACAGAGAGGAAGATCTTCTGTCTGATGATTCACTCCCCCTAGTGACCACAACGGCCGGTACTGTGCCCATACGATGCCAGGAGCCAGGAACTTCCTCCAGGTCTCCCACGCGGGTGCAGGGTCCCAAGGCCTTGGGCCATCCTCGACTGCTTTCCCAGGCCACAGGCAGGGAGCTGGATGGGAAGTGGAGCTGCCAGGATTAGAACTGGCGCCCACATGGGATCCCGGTGTGTTCAAGGTGAGGACTCTAGCTGTTGGGTCACCACACTGGGACCTTGTCATGTTCTGTTTTAGAATGCTGTAAAAAGCTAAAAATCGGAATGGGCGCCTGACCTGGTGACTAAGCTGCTAGAGGGAAGAGATGTGCACCTGCCCTGAAGTGCCTGGGTTCGAGTCTTGGTCCTGCTTCCGATTCCAGCTCCCTGCAAATGCATATCCTGGAGAGAGGCGGCAGCAGGTGATGGTTCCAGCAGCTGCGTCCCCATGAGAGGCCCAGATGGAGTGTCTGTTTCCTGAATTTGGCCAGGCCCAGCTCCGGCACTTAGGAATGGGAAGCCTGCCTGTTTCTCTCTTTGCCTCTTCAATAAACACACGCATACAAAGTGTGTAACGTGACAACCACACTGGGCTCACAGGCAGGCCAGAAGCCCTCTGAGTTCAACCCTCTGGGTGTGCAGCCTGAAGGACTAGGCCCTCCCAGAGAAAGCCCACTCAGCTGGGACCCCTGAGAGCTTAAACAGTGGATGAGGAAGAGCTGCCAGCGAGGCCAGGGCCACGAGCTCTCAAGGCCTGCCCACAGGCTGCACTCCAGGCCACGGGTGCCGGAGACAGTGGCCAATTAAGAGCCCGCTCCAGGTCAGTTCCTACTGATGGTGAGTTCCACGGATTTATTTTTAGCACCAGCAGCGATTTATCCTTTAACTCCACATTCCACGAACTTTCCTAAGTCCCCTTGGACTCACGGGATCCCCAGGGTCCAGGCCAAGTGGCTCCTAGCTGAGTCCTTCCTGCAGTGGTCCAGCAGCAGCCACGCCCTCTGCAGGGCTGAGCAGCCACGCCCAAATCAGAGCATCTTTTTTTTTTTCCCCCCTTATTCTGCATTTCCAACCCAGGGCACCTGGGTGAGCAGAAGGGGCCTGAGGCACAGGAAACAACAGATCTGGCTGCAATACAGAGCAACTAGCGGCTTCTCTGCTACCCTGCACGTTCAGGACAATGGAACTAGCACGCTGAAGCCAGGCTTCGCCTATGGATGGCCCTCTGCGGAGGCGACACCTAGGCTCACCCTGAGGGTCTCACTGCTTGCCAGGCCAAGGGCAAGATCAGCAGTCACTCCATGGCAACTTCCCAGAGGCATCCGGAGACTGGCAGGCTGGAGTTCCCAGGAAGAAAGCCCTCCCCTTACCCTGACTTACAAACATATGCTGTGCATCCAGGGCAGGTCTCCCTTGGTATTTGTTTATTTATTGAAAGGAATAGTCAGAGAGAGAGAAAGAGAAGGATATTGATTTTCCATTTGCTGGTTTTCTCCCCAAATGGCTGCAACAGCCAGGGCTGGCACAGGCCAAAGCCAGGAGCCTGGAACTCCATCTGGGTCTCCCATGTGAACGCAGGGGTGCGGGCACTGGGGCCGTCACCTGCCACATTCCGCCTCCCCAGGCACATTAGCAGGGAGCTGGATCAGAAGCAGAGCAGCTGGGACTTGAACCGGCCCTCAAATGGGATACCATTTGAGTTGTGGGCAGTGTTGTGGGCAGCGGCTTCACCTACTGCCCCAAAGCATTTTACCTGACCCACGCTGGCTATAAACAGGTGAGCATGCCCAACTACTGCTGTTGGGGTTTTTCCCCCCGCCTTTAAAGTATTTAGTTCTTTATTTGAAAGTCAGAGTTTCTTCTGCTGTTTTCCCAGGTGCACTAGCGGGGAGATGCATTAGATGGTGGACCAGCCAGGGGATTTGAACCAGTGGCCTTATGGCATGCTTAACTTGATGGGCTATATCACAGGCCCCTCGACAACTTTTCCAAGGACTGCTTCTCCCTTAACTGGCGAGAGGCAAACATTCCCAGGGTGTCACCTAGGGACCTCAACTTTCCACAGGTTCATTCCACAA